TGTAGCAGCAGGAAAGAGCAAGGGTCCAGTACCACTGTAAAGACTAACAAAATTTGTGGCAGGGGACTGGTAGCCCTGTTTGTCTGTAGCAGCAGGAAAGAGCAAGGGTCCAGTACCACTGTAAAGACTAACAAAATTTGTGGCAGGGAACTGGTAGCCCTGTTTGCCTGTAGCAGCAGAAAAGAGCAAGCATCCAGCTGCACCTTCAAGACTAACAAAATTTGGGGCAGGGGATTGGTAGCCCTGTTTGTCTGCAGAAAAGAGCAAGCGTCCAGTACCACCGTAAAAACTAACAAAATTTGGGGCAGGGGACTGGTAGCCGTTTGTCTGTAGCCGCAGAAAAGAGCAAGCGTCCAGTAGCACCTTCAAGACTAACAAAATCTGTGGCAGGGGAGGGGATTGGTAGCCCTGTTTGTCTGTAGCAGCAGTAAAGAGCAAGCATCCAGTAGCACCTTCAAGACTAACAAAATCTGTGGCAGGGGACTGGTAGCATTTGTCTGTAGCAGCAGAAAAGAGCAAGCATCCAGTAGCACCTTCAAGACTAACGGAATCTGTGGCAGGGGAGGAGCTTTTGTGAGTCACCTTAAAGACTTAACAAAATTTGTGGCGTGGCTCACAAAAGCTCCTACCCTGCTACGAATTTTGTTAGTCTTTAAGGTGCTCTTTTCTCCTGCTACAAGACAGAGTAACACAGTCACCCATTTTTTTGAACCCAGAGCTGATGACCCGCTGGAATCTCAGTAGGGCTGCCAACCTCCAGGTGGGGCCTGGAGAGCTCCCGCTTTTGCAACTGATCCCCAGCTGACAGAGATCAGCTCCCCTGGAGAAAATGGCTGCTTTGGAGGGTGGGCTCTATGGCCCTGTACCATGCTGAGGGCCCTCCCCTCCTCAAACCCCCACCCTCTCCTGGCTGCACCCCCAAAGTCTCCAGGTATTTTCCAACCCAGACCTGGCAACCCTAGATCTCAGCAGGGTATAATGTCATACAGTCCAGTTTCCAAAGCATCCATTTTCTCCAAGGAAACTGATTTGTCTAGTCCTGGAGAACAGTTGTAATTCCCGGAAATCTCCAGGCCCCACCTGGAGGTTGGCAACAGCACACTATGCTCAGTGGCACTTAGACGGGGGAGATGAAAGTTGGGGCAAGGGGTCCTTTCTTTCACATTTTTTACACAGGCGGTTGCCAGGACACCCTCGCTTCAGTCCGCTCTCATACCCGTCTTTCCCTCCCGTCTCTATAGTCCTCCCCTGAAGCACACTACGCTCAGTGGCACTCAAACATATGGGGGAGATGAGAGTTGGGACAAGGGGTCCTTTCTTTCACATCTTTTGCACAGGCGGTTGCCAGGACACCCTCGGCTTCAGTCCGCTCTCATACCCGTCTTTCCCTCCCGTCTCTATAGCCCTCCCCTGAAAACGTCGCAGAGAAACTGCCCCGCATAGTCGATTTTCGTGAATTTTAATCAGGCGTCTCCCGTAGACGCCCTTTGACGTCTTAGCCCGTCCCTCGCGCTACTGAGGACCCCCCCTCTTCCGCCTCTCCTGTCCGAACGCCGGTATATGATTGGCTGCTGCGGCGCGCTTCCTCCTTTTCCCCCTCGGCCTCGGGAGGTGCTGCCAAGATGGTAGGTGGCGACTGAGGCCTTGTTTTCAATCCGGCCTGGCCTGGCGTCATCCTTGTCCTGACGCCCCCCGCACTTCCCGGCCTTGCTTTGGCCAGCCCTACTGCTTACTGTAGGCCGGTTATTTTGCGGGAGGGTCTCCTCGGAGGCGTCCGTGTCCCGCTCCGAACATGCCCCCCCCCCCGCCCACCGCGCGCCGCACAAAAGGTCGTCCCATGCAGCAGAACAGAGTCTGGAGGAGCCGCTTTTGCGCCCTTCTGCTGCAGCCTTGACCCTCCTTGAGAATGAGTTGGAGAGTTGCAAACATTAAGTCTTTTGCAGCGAGGCTGCTGGGCTAGGGGCCAAGGAGCCTGTGCTGCTAAGCGGGGAGGAGAGATTCGGGGTCCCTGGGTGACTCTCTTGTTGCTGCTTTTGCAGAATGATACCGTGACCATCCGGACGAGGAAGTTCATGACGAACAGGCTGCTTCAGCGTAAGCAGATGGTGAGTAAAGAGGCTTTTCTGTACTGCGCTTCTCTGTCTCTAGGTAAAGGTAAAGGTTCCCCTTGCTCGAAAGCCAGTAGGGTTGCGGTGGGCATCTCCGTCTCCAAGCCGAAGAGCCAGCGCTGTCCGAAGACGTTTCCGTGGTCATGTGGCCGGCGTGACTAAATGTCTGTCTCTATATAGAGCTTAAAGCAGTGTTCCCTCTAAGCTGAGTTAGCGTGAGCCAGCTCCCTTTTTTTATCCTCCGGCTCACACATTTTTGTAATAATAATAATAATAATATTTATTGCATTAGCGAAAAAGCCATAGCAACTGTACAGGGTAAAATAAAATAAATTAAAAAACAACAACAACACACACTTAAAAGGTCGACAGTTATCAGCAGTAAACTAGTTAAACTCAGGGAGACATTTTTGTCTTAGCTCAGGAAGGAGGGCTCCAGAGCAAACTAATTTATGCAGCAGCCCAATTGCTCACTCACAACTTCAATGCCGGTAGCTCACAAGGTAGAATTTTTGCTCACAGGGCTCCACAGCTTCAAGGGAGCATTGGTTTAAAGCTTTAGGGCAGTGGTGGCGAACCTATGGCACGGGTGCCAGAGGTGGCACTCAGAGCCCTCTCTGTGGGCACGGGTGCCATCGCTCCAGCCAGGCCCAGACCATCATTAAAGTGTCGAATTCTCTGCCAAATAATTTTCAGTCAATGAAAGCAGTTGGGATTGCCTTCCTTACTTTGTTTGGATCATCTTAAGTTAATGTATGAGGGTTTTTTTCTAAAGTAAAACCTCAGTATTCAGGTTAAATGGCCGGGTTGGCACTTTGCGATAAATACGTGGGTTTTGGGTTGCAGTTTGGGCACTCGGTCTCTTAAAGGTTCGCCATCACTGCTCTAGGTGGAGCAGATCTGGTCGTTGGGAGCTGGGGTGTGTGTGTTGGGGTTGCAATTAGGAACAGATTCAGGTGGGTAGCTGGGTTGGTCTGAAGCAGCAGACCACTTCTTCAAATATATTGAAACAGAGAATCACCAATATGTAGGGGAGGGTGTTGTGTCTGAAGATGTGTGCGCACACACAAAAGCATATACCCTGCACTGCTAATCCTCAGCAGCTTTATGAAGCTCTTCTGATACACAGCTGCATAAATGCAAGCGACTGCAGAGAAAGTCAGTACTTTCAGAAAAGCTAAAAGGGCCTCCAAAATGAAGGAAACCTTCAGCAACAACCTCTGAGCAAAACTAGTAGGCGAGAGGTACCACTAATCACCAATATGATTATCACCCATATGCAGGTCGAGGGTGAGGAGAGGATTGTACTTGAAGAAATGTGTATCTGAAGAAGTGTGCACATGCACAAAAGCTTTGTGCCACTGGATGAATGAAAGCTTTGTGCCACTGGACTCAAATGTTGTTCAGTTAATAACTTAGTGCTGCGTGTTAAAATATTGTCTATTTCATATTGAGGATTTTTTCCCACTGTAAGCAGATAGATCAGGTACTGACAGTGTACTGGAGAAGAATTTGCTTGTAAAGCAAACTTCACGACTGTTGAATAGATACTGGGAGAATAATCTCTGCAGGCTCTAGCTTTCTGAAGCTTTTCATGCAGTGAAACTAACAGACTTGAAGTGCTGTCTTTTGGCTTGCCTACTAGTTTTGTTTGGAGGTTGTTGCTGAAGGTTTTCTCTGTTTTGGAGGGCCTTTTAGCATTTCTGAAAGTATTGGCTTTCTCTGTAGTTGCTTGTTTTTATGCAGCGGTGTATCAGAAGAGCTTCACAAAGCTGCTAAAATGGGTTAGTGCTGGAAGGTGGCATGCTGCTGTTGGCTGATTTTGGTGACTATGGGGTTTTTTTTGTTGTTGTTTTGAATTTTTGAGCTTCCTAGAATATCTGGTTTGTCTGTGGGTTCTGAACTGAGTTTTCCTGGTTGCCTGTTTGGTTGTTCAATAGTGTTTCACTTTGTTCTTGGATAGGACTGGTAGCTGTTCGAGACGTAGAGAGAAGCAGTCAGAACAGAAGATTGTAAAAGTTCAAGTTCATCCATGTTCAACAGGCTTTAGCAGCACTCTGTTTACGTATTATAAATGGCCACACAAAACATTTGGATGGATGGGTATAGATTGTTATAGTAATTGTCACAGTTGTAGTTAAAGCTGATGTTCAGATTTGAAGTTGCCCTGAAGCACTGAGAGAATATGTTAGATGCAAAAGATACTATTGCACTCAGAAAGTAGCAGTCAGAATTGAATGTTTCTAGTACTGCTGTGACTCTGGTCTGGTTATCCCCACCTGTCTTTCCAACTTTGTCATGTACAACCAGCAAACTCATATGTGTTGCCTCCTTATAGAGATATAAGGCTATTCCTGGCTATTTTCAAGTACATCGTTTGCTCTTAGCTTTTTACCCTGGTCATTTTCATACCCTCATAGGCTCTTTTTTGGGGTAGTGGTTAAGTGCGCGGACTCTAATCTGGGAGAACCGGGTTCGATTCCCCACTCCTCCACTTGCAGCTGCTGGATGACCTTGGGCAAACTGTAGTTCTAATAAGAGCTGTTTTTGGGAAAGAGCAGTTTCTGTCAAGAGCTCTCTCAGCCCCACCTACCTCACAGGGTGTCTGTTGTGTGGAGGAGAAGGGAAAGGAGTTTGTGAGCTGCTCTGAGACACCTTTGGGTAGTGAAGGGCGAGATATAAATCCAATCTCTTCTTCTTTTACCTCACAGGGTGTCTGTTGTGGGGAGGGGAAGGGAAAGGAGTTTGTAAGCCGCTGTGAGACTCCCTTGGGTAGTGAAGGGCCATGGGGTATAAATCCAATCTCTTCTTCTTTCCCACGATCTCTGCTTTCATCACTGTCATCTATTCAGAGCCCTCCAGCTCCCTCAAACACCCTTCCTGGCCCTTCTACCTGGAATTGCTTTCCAGAACACCTGCCTGATGCAAACACGCTTCTTTCAGTGCTCCCCAAAGCCCCCCCTCCTCCTCAAGGTTAGTCAGATAGCCCAGTCTGGCAGCGCCAGTTCGCATGGTCTCAGGAGCGCCTCCCTGTCGCTGTTTACAGCGAGCAAGCATGTGCCGTAGCGCCACAGTCAGGAAAGGACACATACACATGAAATATGGCAGCTAGTTGACAAGGAGCCACACATAGGCCATGCTTCTTTAGTCGCAGAGTAAACCTAGTTTAATGTAACTTAGGGCGTTTCCATATCTGTAAGTGCATGGTACATACAATCCCTTTTCTAAAAGCATGATTTTTTTGTGTGGTCATCTGTCTGCAGGTTATCGATGTCCTTCATCCCGGGAAAGCCACGGTCCCCAAAACTGAGATCCGCGAGAAGCTGGCCAAAATGTACAAGACGACCCCCGACGTCATTTTTGTCTTTGGCTTCAGGACTCACTTTGGGGGTGGGAAGACAACCGGCTTCGGCATGATCTACGATTCCCTGGACTACGCCAAGAAGAATGAGCCAAAGCATCGCCTGGCCAGGGTGGGCACTCTCGACCGGTGTACCCTGCACGGGGGGGGGGGCGGGAAAGAGGGTGGGGTGGGTGTAAGCTCGGTTATACGCGCCAAGGTTTTGGGAGTCTTTGTGTCGGAGGTGCACAGCAGAGTTCTTTGGTTTAAAGTGTTTCTTTTTGCATGCTCTCTCTTTTTTTGAAAATTGATCCGGCTTATCAAGAAGGCCAAGAGGAGACCCTTAACTTAGAGGCTTGAGGGAGCGGCTGTGGCTCAGCGGAAGAGCCTCTCTGCTTGGCATGCAGGAAGTCCCAGGTTCAGTCCTTGGCATCTTCGGTTAAAAGGGTCGGGTAGGAGGTGATGGGGAAGACCTCTGCCTGAGACCCCGGAGAGCCATTGCCGGTCTGAGTAGACCACGCTGACCTCGCTGGACCGGTGGTCTGGTTCAGTAGAAGGCAGTTTTATTTGTGTTTCAAATAGCGTATGAAAGGCTTTAAGAAAGAGCTCTTGACTTGAATGCCAGCTGCCTCACAGGAAAAGCCCAGTCTGGTGCTCTCCCACCATTTTTTTAAAAACGTGAGAGAGGATGCAGAACTTCTGAAGATGGTCTTGGCCAGTGGATGGGCTCCTAAGGGAAGAGGCAGGGCCTTCTCAAGTCCTGGTCCCAGGCCCTGCGTGGCTTTTATAGTGACAGTCTGCACTTTGAATTGAGCTTGGACGCAGCCTGGCAGCCAGGGGAGATCTTTTAAAAACCGGTGAGGTGCAATCCTTGTAAGTAAATCCCTGAAGCTGCCTTGGCTCCCCGCTTTGAGCCATTGGATGCTTTTGGACAGTCTTCAAGAGCAGGAACATGCAGAGCAGGTTGTAGTAGTCTAACGTGGATCTAAACAGCCGGAGCCGGTGCACCCGCTGAATCGAGTTGAGAGCCCTGACTGCCACAGTGGAGGCGTCATGCGCCTTCATGGGAAGGTCCATCTAATAGCACACTCAGGCTGAACATGCACTTAACAGCCAAGCGCAATATAATCCACGGTTGGGTGACTCCACAAGCCCCCGATGGGCCTTAGCGACCAGAAGAACCCCAATCTCATCTGGCTTGTGTTTTTTATATTGTGAAGAGGCGGCATAGAAATTCTCTAACTAAATAGTTCCAGGTGGTCAGCTGTGTTGGTCTGAAGCAGTAGAACAAATTTAGAGTCCATTGTCACCTTTTATGACCAACAGAGGTTTATTCAAGGGACGAGCTTTGTGCAAGGCACACTTTTTCAAATACACTGGGATGGAAGGTAAGAGTTCAGACTTATAGACAGAGGCTGAACAGCAAATTAACACGTAACATGATGAAGATGTTTTAAAATATACGAAGACAAAATTAAAATAACAAGCTATGGTTATAAGGTCAGCAGTTGTTTTTGATTTAATTAGGAGGGGAAAACAGTAAAGCAATAAATATGTCAAAATAGGAGATACATGTGTAAAGGTATCTTTGAATTGTGGGAAGTAAACTGAGCCTTGACTTTACTAGATGTCATGTAGAATCGGGCGTCGCCGGGGTGCTGATGAACCGGAGTCCATAGGCTTTTCAGTTAAACACCTGGCAGTTATCGAAGGGAAGGGTAGGGAACAGACAGGATCAGTGTTTCCAAGCCGAGCTGTCAAGGGCGCTGATCACCTGCCACTTCTTCCCCCAGCATGGCCTGTATGAAAAGAAAAAGACTTCTAGAAAACAGCGCAAAGAGCGTAAGAACAGGATGAAGAAAGTCAGGGGCACAGCTAAAGCAACCGTTGGAGCCGGCAAGAAGGTAAGCTCGGCCTACTGGGGTTCGTGAGCAGTTTTTTTTTTCGAATTGCGTTTAGACTTTTTCATCAGCGGAATGTTTCTTTTTTTCCCTTTCTTTTATTCCCCCCAACCCCGTTTGCCTCCCGGCTTGTAAAATCGACCAGTGGCAATTTGCGGTCAGAAAAGAAGACCGAATGCTCATCCATTAGGATTTAACAATGTTGGAAGTAAGAACGTTCAGGCTGTGCTTAACAGTAGCATAGAAAACAACTTTAGGATGTACCTTTCACATCAGCATATGCTTTAGATTAGCTTTTGAGTGTCTCTGGTTCCTTTAGAAGGGTGTTGTGGGCAGGGTTTCCGCTACGGTGCACCAGCGCAGAGCTTTTTAGCTCAGCGCAGGGGTACTTCCTATCCTGGGTTGGCGCTGCGCTGCCCTCCCCTCAGCCAAGGCCTGTGGGCCCTGTAAAAGAGGGTGCCATGGGCTGTGCTTGGCAGTCCTTGCCCCCCACACTTCTGACAAGCCGCTGCCCACACCGTCACTCTCCTGCCGCCTTGCCACATCAGGACAGAGGTAAATCATCCCCTCAACGGCCAGACAACGCAGCCCAGCACCCCTCCATGGGGCCACCCACTGCCAGTGTGGTTGGGGGATGTGGGGCCCAGGCCACAGGAGGTCCTGGGCTCACTTTCTCCTGCAGTCCACTTTAAACTGGGCTGCCGGAGAGAAGAACCAGATGATCTAACACAGCACAATTTGTAGAAAAGGGGGGTGGCGTTGAGGATGGATTGTTATTTATTTTTCTTAAAATGCCTTAAAAATGGTAAAACTGTATTTAAAAGCTATGGTAAGATCAGCTTTCTGAATATGTAATTCACAAAACATTCCCGTTCCCTCTATATTCATTGTGACCATCCAGTATACTGCCATCTTGTGAAATAATCTGCTATTTTCTTTCATTCTAACTGATTAGCATCCGGGGCCTAATTTACAGTTCAGTCTTATACAAAACTAACTCCAGTCTAAGCTATTGGAATCAGTGGGCTTAGACGAGAGTATAATTCTGCCTAGGGTTGCACTGTCACTGACTTTAGTTTGCCAAGTTTTCTGTGAATTCCTGATCTGATGTTGGCTCATGCTGGCATCCCAGCCATTTGTTCTTTGGGTTGGTTTCTTATTTTTCACTTTCACTCTAGTTTTAGTAAGCTCCTCACAATGCTATTTCATGCAGTCGTTCTGAGTCATTCAGCAGTGGGCTTCAACTAGGTTTTAAAGCCATTTTACATGGCTTTGTGATTGCTCTTACCAGATTGTGTGATTTCACTTGGAAACTGCCTTGAACACATGTAGGATATTAAAAACACCAGACAAACAAATAGTAAAAGAACGGGAGGATATATAAAACCAGTAAGGACACCGTGGCTTTTAAAAAGGTGTCTTGGGTTAGGCGCAGGGTGAAGAAAATGGGCAGAGGGAACTTTTTCTCCTTGTTCTAGTGCTAGAACTCAGGGGCGACCAATGGACATAGATTCAGGACAAATAGGAGGAAGTGGTTGTTTACTCAATTGGTAATTGAACAGCGTTCCGTGCACCTTGGTGTTGAGTCATGCCGGCCACATGACCACGGAAACGTCTTCGGACAGCGCCGGCTCTTCGGCTTGGAAACTGGAGATGAGCACCACAACCCTAGAGCCGGATTCAACTGGCTTTCGAGCAAGGAGGAACCTTTACCTTTAATTGAACTGTGGGATTCCCTGCCAGTGGGTGCCCTGATGGCCGTCAGCACAGATGGCTTTCGAAGCAGAAGGTTAATGAAGGAGAAATCCGGCAACGGATATAAGCCATTAATGACTACAGGGAACCTCCATATTCAGAGGCCGCAAGCCTCTGACACCCAGTGATAGGGGAGCAACGTCAAGGGAATGGCCTCGGCCTCTCTGCCCTGTTGACCGTCCACGGCAGCTGGTTGGCTGCTCTGTGAAACGGCACTGCGCTCAGTGGACCATCGGTCTGACCCAACAGGTTTCTTCTTGGGTCCTTCATGAGAAGTAGTGTTTGTGCATTAAATGAACCATCCATAACGTGGCAGTCTTTTAAGGGCATGAAATTCAGGTGCAGAAATGGATAGAATTAAACTGCATAAGCAGGTACAAGTTAAATTCCATATAAAGATATGATTTGTAATACAAATTATAATAGTTTATATTTTGTTTCTAAAGGGAGATATATATATATATATATAAAAGAACAAGAACAATGTAGGCTCAGCTCGCTCCCAGCTTAAATGCTAGTAGGTTTGTTTGGCCCACGAACCAGAATTTCGGGTCACAACACTCCAGAGCTTGAGCGTGGGTATAAAGGGTCTGATTAAAAGGTGTTTGGCATGTTTTCAAATCAGTTCTCAGCTAGTAACCCGATTTATTTATTTATTAATCGCATTTGCAGTTTGGTGTCGTGGTTAAGTGTGTGGACTCTCATTTGGGAGAACCGGGTTTGATTCCCCACTCCTCCACTTGCACCTGGCTGGATGACCTTGGGCAAGCCATAGTTCTGTCAGAGCTGTCCTTGAAAAAGAGCCGTTTCTGTCAAGAGCTCTCTCAGCCCCACCGACCTCACAGGGTGTCTGTTGTGGGGAGGGGAAGGGAAAAGGAGTTTGTAAGCCCCTCTGAGACACCTTTGGGTAGTGAAGGGCGGGGGATAAATCCAATCTCCTCTTCTTCTTTATACCCTCTGCCCTCTCCACAATGCAGGCGCCGGGCGGCTCACAGTCAGTACATAAAATACAGTTAGAGCCACATAAAGCCATATAAGACACTTCCATGATTAACATTAACCCTTTTCCCTTCCGCCTTTCTTTCCGACTTCCTTGGGATTCTTGTGGTTCAGAAATGAAGTGCCTGGCAGGTACAGAGCCTCAGCATGGATGTGATTGCATGAGCCATGCAACACCCGTTTGACCTTCTCCAGCGCTCTCTCGCTTTGTCTGTGTGCTGTGGCTTCCCTGGCCCTTTTTTGTACATGATTTACTTTGAGACAGAACATTAGCGTGGTGGCGGAAGTCTTGGCCACAGAGGCCAGAAGCCTTGGCCGCCCAGGTCTCCAAAACGTTTATTGCCTGTTTCCGCGTAGCCTTCCCGAGAGCCTGACCTGAAGCTTCGATTTTAAGACTGGCTTGAGTGCACATTCTGTATATTAAATACTGCTAGGAGGACTGATTTAGTTTCTTGAGTAAAGCCATGCTCAGAGATGAGTGCGCTGGCAGCTCGATTTCCGGGCATAGAATTTCCCTCTTTTCTTTTCTTTTTTTCCTTTAAATGTAGCTTGCAGGCAACACCAAACACAGATTCATGTTTGCTCCGTTAATGCCTTAATGCCTATCTGACAAGCACACTCAGTCCCTTTTTTTTGTAATATGCAGCTGTGCTTACTTGCTTGAGCTTGCAGTTTGCCTATTCCTCTATCCCCCACCCACCACTCCCATTCTCCTGGATAAAAAAAGCACTTTATCCAAGCAACTCCCCCAGTCTGTGCTGTTATATCTGGAACAGTCCATGCTAGTTCAAAACAATAATATTGTTAAATGTACAGGTGCAGTATGGAAGTGATTTCTTATTAATGGTTTGAAATGTACTGTGTCAGAAACAGGAACAGACTGGGTCTTTGTGACAACCAGGGAAATGCAACCCGTTATCTGAAGCCTTTTAGAGCAGACCTTAAATTTTCTTTGGCTCGAGGAGCCAGCTCAAATATTGAGGAGCCAAGACTTGTTTGTCAGCCATCATGATTTTTAATTTTAATGACCAAATTTTTCTGATTATTGCTGCCACAAAACCTACCCTCTTCCTGGTTTGATCTCCACCAATTCTGCTAATTATCACCCCCGTTCCACTTGGCTTTTGTCCACACATGTCCCATGATCCAAAACCTAGTCTTTTTCATGGTAAAAGGGGAAAGCCTTCTCTTTTTCACCAGCAGAAAAACTGGTTGTCCTTCCACTGAGAATGGCTGAGGGGCGCGACAGTGAATTAGTTGCTGAAAATTTGGTGCTGCAATGAAATTTCTAGGCACTGGGACAGCTCGGCGCTTGGGATTTATCAAGCCCAGTTTCAGTGTTGGCAAATGGCTAGCATTTTCGCCACCCTCTGTTTCATAAAACCTTAAGAGGAATATTTGCTTCATGTGTAGTAATAACAAAAGTGGAACAAACACTTAGTGGGCTCTAGCACGCCTTGGGCACAACACGCTGGAGGCTGCTGAAGTGTTTACCCAGCAGGGGTCTGGGGTTTTGAGTGTCTGTACTAAGAGAATTGGAGCTGCGGTGGCTCAAGTGGTTAAAACGCTGAACTGCAGGCCGTGGAAGGTCGGTAGTTCAGCAGTTTGAGACCCGAGTTCCCGCATGACGGAGTGAGCTCCCGTCTCTAGTTCCAGCTCCTGCCAACCTAGCCGTTCGAAAGCAAGAAACTGCAAGTAGATAAATAGGTACCACTTTGGTGGGAAGGTAACAGCGTTCCGTGCACCTTGGTGTTTAGTCATGCCGGCCACATGACCACAGAAACGTCTTCGGACAGTGCTGGCTCTTCGGCTTTGAAACGGAGATGAGCACTGCAACCCTAGAGTCGGACTCGACTGGCTTTCGAGCAAGGGAACCTTTACCTTTTTTACCTTACTAAGAGAATTATCTTTCTCTAATCCCAGGTGGGTAACCATGGTAGTCTGTAGCGGCCAATAAAATGGGAGTCCAGTGTCACCTTTAAAGGCAAATACAGTTGATTCCAGCATAAGCTTTCGTGGCTTATTTTGCCTAATTGACAGGAGTCAGCTTTGACTTGCCAACCAGCTCCTGCCGAACTCTGGCTGCTTGCTTCCCCAATTCACCATGCAAGCAGCTGTCCCCATTTCCTAAAGAACATAAGAGACGCCAATGTTGGATCAGGCCAAAGGCCCATCCAGTCCAACACTCTGTGTTACACAGTGGCCAGAAATACCAGTGCCATCAGGAGGTCCACCAGTGGGGCCAGGACACTAGAAGCCCTCCCACTGTTGACCCTCCCCCAGCACCAAGGAGACAGAGCATCACTTGCCCCAGAGCCCCTAGCTATACCTTGTGGCTAATAGCTACTGATGGACCTCTGCTCCATAACCCTAAACCATCTGTGAATGGTTGTGTTTAAGCCTCCAGGAAGTGACCTCCTCATGACCTAACTTTTATTACCACCACACTGGGCTGCTATTGGAAATGCAGGTTTGAGAGCCAGTGCCCAAGACATCTGTGGCTAGGGAGGACATCGGGGTGGGGGCTGTGGCCCAGTGGAAGAACATCCTCTTTCCGTGCCAAAGGTCCCAGGTTCAGTTCCCCAGCATTTCCAGTTTAAAAGGACCAGGCAGTGAGTGATATGAAAGACTTCACCCTGAGACCTTGGGAGTCTGAATAGACAAGATTGATGGACTAACGATCTGATTTGCTGTGAGGTAGCTTCATGTGCCCACGTGTAGGGCAACTGACACAGCTCATCCCTTTGGATCTGGGCCTTTTGCAATAGGTGAAAATCCAGTGGAATAAGAAGCATACATAGGATTTGGCAGGGCAGGGTTTGTGGGATAAATAAGGCAATGCGAGGTTGTGACGCTCTTTTCCTTTTCTTCCCTTTCAGTAAGCCAGCCAGTGGATTTCACAGGTACGACCATCTCCAGTGTTTTGCCGCTTTTCTGTCTTCTCTTGCAATCTGCTTCTTGCCTGGTCCCTTGGTTGCTTATAAAGAGTCTGCAGTCATACGGGCTTTCTGGGGAAATGCTCTGGTTCAAATGGAAATAAGCGGCTGAATAATGTTAGCAGAAGGTAGAATCTCACCATGCACAAGCGCTGGGGGTTTGTCTGCAACATTTAGCCATTCCGACATGATTGATTCGCAGCACAGCAGCCCTGACAGCTGTAGGTGAATGTGCTTGTTTACATGTAGGGATGAAAAATTTTCCATAGAAAATATTTCAGATTTGGAAAATTTGCAAGCTCCGCATCACTGACTGCTGGACGTGAATATTCCCTGTCTTCGCTGCAGGTCGTTTCTCCTGTCATGGTCTTATTGCAAACACTCTCTCAGTCCCACAGAGTTCTGTTTTTTGGTCAGTCTTAGGTTCCGTCCTTTCCACCACTATATCTTCAGTGATCTTGGGACACTAATCCAGCTGTTGAGGGGCAGCAGTTTGTCCTTCTAGACCAGGGGTGGCCAAACTGTGGCTCGGGAGCCACATGCGGCTCTTTCACACATATTGGGTGCGGTCAGACGGCATGCTGGGAGCGGTTTAAATTGCTCTGGCCCTGAGAGCCAGTTTGGTGCAGTGGTTAAATGTGCGGACTCTAATCTGGGAGAACCGGGTTTGATTCCCCACTGCTCCACTTGCACCTGCTGATGTGACCTTGGGTCAGTCACAAGCTCTGACACAGCTATTCCTGAAAGAGCCGTTTGTGTCAGAGCTCTCTGGTTTGATTCCCCACTCCTCCACTTGCAGCTTCTGGGTGACCTTGGGCAAGCCGTAGGTCTGATAAGAGCTGTCCTTGAAAAAAGAGCAGTTTCCGTTAAGAGTTCTCTCAGCCCCACATGCCTCACAGGGTGTCTGTTGTGGGAAATATGGCTGTGGTAGAACAATGGGAGAGGGCAGGGAGCTGTGGCAGTGTGAGGATAAAAAGCCTGCAGAGGCCTCTGCCCAGTTCCACGCCACCTGGGTGGCTGCCTACCTACCTGTCCACCCTGTGCAAAGGGGGTATGCAGCCCCCATGCCAGCATTTAGACCATCTTGGACTGACAGTTGAGAGAGCACAGAGGGGATTCTGAATTTAGTAGAACAACATTCTCTCGCATGCCCGTCAGACTGACATCCTTTTTCCTTTCCTTTACAGAACAGCTGAATTATCCTGGTGGAAAATACGTGCTGATTTAGTAGCAGATCTTCAAATAAATTTTATAAGAACTAAGGTTTTGTGTGGTCTTGAGTGCATTTTATTTGTTAAAAAAATGTTCTCTTTGCGGTATGGTACGATTAAACAGTTTAAAACGGTTCAAATGAAAATGCCGTAGGTGAGAATCTTCGAAGCCTGAAGTGAGACTGGAGGGGAGCCGGCAGGAGGAATTCAGCCAAGCCGCTGCACACTCGGCTAATGAACATCAAGCTGCTGGGCAATCTGTCCAGCTGCTCGAGAGATTATCTCTGAGATTTATATCTTTTTTTCTCCAGGTGCTGGTTCAAGGATACAAAATGGGAAACAAGGAAAGCCTGAAGGGGAAATGGAATCACAAGCTGACTAAAGGAAGTCCAGGTGCTTAACCAGCCCTTTCATTTGAGTGAGGGCAGCCAGTCACAAGGCCTGCCTTGCAGGGGCCCCCGCTCCCTTTCTGGGAAGCCCAGCAGGCACCAAGGAAAGTCCTGGTGCTCGTGGGCCGCGTGACGGGGATCCTTGCTCGACAGGGACAGAGACACACACAACTCACTTTAATGCCAGGGTGAGGAATGAAAAATCTGCCTTCTGCCACAACCTACCCCTGCAAGTCCCCGTAGACCTTTATTCTTACCAAAGGTAAAGGTTCCCTTGCTCGAAAGCAAATCGAGTCCGACTCTAGGGTTGCGATGCTCATCTCCGTTTCCAAGCCGAAGAGCCAGCGCTGTCCGAAGACGTTTCCGTGGTCATGTGGCCGGCGTGACTAAACACCAAGGCGCACGGAACACTGTTACCTTCCCACCGAAGTGGTACCTATTTATCTACTTGCAGTTTCTTGCTTTCGAACGGCTAGGTTGGCAGGAGCTGGAACCAGAGACGGGAGCTCATCATGCGGTACCCGGGTCTTGAACTACTGAACTACCGACCTTCCACAGCCTGCAGTTCAGCATCTTAACCACTTGAGCCACCGCAGCTCCATTCTTATCAAGTTACTGATGAATAACTGCTCCTCCGAAACATTCTAAGTAACGCTTCAGACCATAAAATGACTGTACTAGAGCTGCACTCCGCAGCAAGAGGCAGTTCCTCCTGTTAACTACATGCAGTCTTTTCGGAAGGTGGGCCCCCCTGCTCTCTTTCAGGGGTTTGCAGCCAAGCCTTACATTTTTATAAACTTTTCCCCTGGGGTACAGCAGGGTATAATGCCATGGGGTCCACCGTTGGAAGCTGCGGTTCTTTCCCCCTGGGGATCCGACCTCTGTAGTTTGGTGAGTTAATTGTAATTCTGGGAGATCTCCAGGTCCCTGCTGCAAGTTGGCAACCTTATGGGCTTGGAATGAATTGGAAAGGGGTCTGGTATAGCTTCCCCTCCCGCCCCAGGTATATACTTTGTAACAGGGAGGCTAGATCAAGGGATGTCTCTAAGAGTGGGGGAAATGGGTGTGTTTGGAAGGGCAGCAGGAGGAAATACCAACAGAACTTTCTATGGAAATGCACAACCGTAGCAAAAGGTATGCATAAATCAGCATGAAAAATCCAGAGAGCCAGAAATGGCAACTCTAAAAACCTTTAACACGGAAAATACTAGCAGGCCAATGGGAGCAGAAAACAACATGGCTGCCGATGGTGTGATCGCAAAATCTTGGCAAGACACCCTAACTTGACGGAAGCATTAAGAAGAAGAAGAGGAGAAGAGATTGGATTTATACCCCCGCCCTTCACTACCCAAAGGTGTCTCAGAGCGGCTTACAAACTCCTTTCCCTTCCCCTCCCCACAACAGACACCCTGTGAGGTGGGTGGGGCTGAGAGAACTCTTGACAGAAACTGCTCTTTTTCTCAAGAACAGCTGTGCCAGAGTTATAGCTTGGCCAAGGTCATCCAGCCAGGTGCAAGTGGAGGAGTGGGGAATCAAACCCGGTTCTCCCAGATTAGAGTCTGCACACTTAACTACTAAATCATAGGTATTGAAATCCCACTGAATCCTGAGAATCTCTTTCTCAAACATTGGCCACCTCACATTGAGAAGCACACTCACAAGCAGACCTTGGATGTGATGATATACACTGCTCGTACAGCAATCGCTACTTGCTGGAAAGAGCCAAATCCCCCAAAAAAGAGTTTATGGTACCAAAAGATGTGGGACCATTTTCTTATGGACTCTGTGACCAACAAATTGAACAGGATAACGCAGTACCCAATAGATAAACCTATAATGGATAAATGGAACCCTATACTAGAATTTTTAGCTTCAGAAGATTTCTTGCCCTCTTCCTGGCAGCAATTCCAGAGGTGGCTGTAAAGACTATTTCAACATGGAACACAACTCTATACTGCATGTTATATCCTACACCTCCTATACAAATAAGCAATATAGACACAATGTAATTTCATATTGGCAAATACATAGATGAATACCGTAGTTCTCAAGACATACCAGAGCGAATTAAATGTTTCTGAAATGTGAAAAGCACAAATGTAGTTTTTCAGATTTTTTATGTTACACAAAATTATTGGAATATTGTTATTATTAAGGTAATTGACTTTTTTGTAACTTGTTTTACGATACAATAAAAAAATTGTATATATAAAAAAAACTACTACACCAAACTGGCTCTCTTAAGACACCGGATTCCCTTCTATTGAAGCCTATTACTCAATTGACGGAAGCAGGAATTCGCTATCAATGGTCCCCGACGGGCTACCTACAGGTGTGATATCAGGGCAATAGTCTTCAAGCAAACAACGTAGATTCAGGTGGTGACTGGTGAGCTTTTCTGGGCTTTAAAATTAGAACTACCGCAAGACTCTGCAAGAAAACAAAGGGGGGGGGCGGAGAAGCTGGGCTCTCCTAGAACACCGCACCACTGTAGTAAGATCTCAGTGAGACCACACTCAAATCCTTGGAAGTGCTAGCCAGATTTATGATGATACACGGTATAGCTCCAGTGTGTAATCTGACATGGTTCCGATTACCATGTCAGATTACACAGGGAAGCCATTGAAATTCATCAATATAAACACAGTTTCAACAGGGAAGAAGAGAGTTTAGGCCATGGTTTCCTGTCCTGAAAAACACAAAAGGCTCTACATCTGACAACCAATGTTCCCTCTAAGCTGTGGGGTCTTGTGAGCAAGAATTCTTTGTGAGCTACTGGCATTAAAGTTGTGAGCGAGCGATTTGGTTGCTGCATAAATTAGTCTGCTCTGGAGCCCCATCCTGCCTGAGCTAAGACAAAAATGTGTGAGCCGGAGGCTAAAAAACTGAGCTAGCTCACACTAACTCAGCTTAGAGGGAACACTGCTGACAACAGCACTACAGGTAAGATCAGAATTTCAACAGCCAATCCACATACAAAAGAACCTCCTCTGGAAACAATCCATACACTAAAGAACCTCCTCAGGAAAGCTCCTCCATTAGCATGTTCATAGCCTGGGGGACTCCTACAAGATAATGACTCAGCCCTACCCCACCTTCTGGAGTAGATATAAATTACCTGCCTACCATTTTCCCTTTCACCTTGACACAGAGAATTAACTGCCTACCATTTTCTTCTCACCTTGACACAAAGAGTACTCCATCTTTCTGTGCTTATACCTCCGAGGATGCCAGTCACAGCTACTGGCGAAACGTCAGGTCCTACAATGCCAAGACCACGGCCACACAACCCAGAAAACCTACAGCAACTAAAGAGAATAAAACATCAATATTACAGAATTTTGGGACAGATTCTCTCTTTAAAAGAATAAACAAGAATGTTCCTAAAGTTAGCAATAATCTATTAATAAAGAGATTACCTCTGTAACAGATGGACAAACTTCCACACTGAAATATCGTAAAAACCTGAATATTGTCTTGTCTAAATCTAAATTTTATTCTTATTAAATATTTAAATCATCAACTTTAATATGATATTCAGATAATTCCAAAAAAAAGTTAGCTATTCCCATAATATGCTTGCCATTTCTGCTTAATTTTTTTTCAATGGTCTTTTGTTTATATAATAAGTTTTGCCAATGTTGCATACTCAGCTAGTTTTTCTTTACAGATCTCTGTTTTTTCTTTCCAGATCTCTGTTGTAGAAATTATTTTACTTATTTATTTATTGGATTTATATCCTGCCCTCCCCACGAATGGGCTCAGGGTGGCTCAGAACTTTATCGGCACCATGTCCCCAAGTCCACACCATGTGCCAGTCTTCTGTTTTCCATTTCATTGCAAATATTTCTCTGGCAGCTGTCAACCTATATCTAAGTAAGTCTTGTGAGGTTCTGGAACAACTGGGTTTGATTCCCTACTCCTTCGCATGCAGCTGCTGGTGTGACCTTAGGTCAGTCTTAAGTTCTTTCAGAGCTGTTCTCTCAAGGGCAGTCCTCAAGACAGCTCTCTTGGGCCCCCCCTACCTCACAGGGTGTCTGTTGTGGAGATTGTAAGCCGCTCCGAGACTCCTTTGGGTAGTGAAGGGTGGGGTATAAATCCAGTCTCCTCCTCTTCCTCTTTAATTAAACCAATTTTAATTTGTTTAAATTCTTGGCTACAGGGCTGGTTCCCAAGCTTATGTGTCCAGGTCTCTTATTATTCCCTTAAACGCTGTTACCTTCCCACTGAACTGGTAACTATTTATCTACTTGCCATTTCTTGCTTTCGAACTGCTAAGTTGGCAGGAGCTGGAACTAGAGACGGGAGCTCACTCCGTCATGCGGTACACTCGGGTCTCGAACTGCTGAACGACCGACCTTCCACAGGCTTGCAGAATGGTGGAAGTGAAAGCAGAGAGGAGACATCCCAGTCCAGAAGCCAATCATGTAAAATCCTTTCCTAGTTACACTTCCACTTATTGTGTAACCTTCATTACCAGCCTGTGAACTCTGCCCTGCTCTCTCGCAACAGAACCTTCCAAAAGGGAAACAGTAAAGTATCAGCAAAGGGCAGGGGAGGCTGCCGTTCCCAGAATGAAAGGAGACCACTCCCTTTCAGGAGAGCACCGCCCACACACGCCCGATCCCACTCAGCCGGAAACTGGAAGCCTGGGCTTGGATTCCCCTCACAAACAACACCGTCTTCTGACTTTGACAGATGTCCGACATGCTGTTTCAGGGGCTCTCAGCAGTCTGGGGGGCGATTCCTCTGCCGGCATGGCTGTCCTTCCTGGTGATGCTTCTCATCATTGCCGATTACTGGAAAAGGAGACGGCCAAAGGCTTTCCCTCCTGGGCCTCTGCCCCTTCCTTTCCTGGGCAATATGCTCCACTTGGATCCCAAGAAGCCCCACATTGCTTTGCTAAAGGTAAGTGTAATGATTTCAAGTTATAAGTGTACCTTCCTTTAAAATGGTGTCAGAAAAACAGGGGGGGGGGGGGAAAGAAGGAGGAGACTGAGAGTGTGGGAAAGAAGGAGGTGACTGAGAGTGTGTGGGTGGCAATGTTCCCTCTAAGCTGTGGAGTCCTGTGAGCAAAAATTCTACTTGGCGAGCTACTGGCATTAAAGTTGAGAGCGAGTCATTTGGCGACTGCAGAAATTAGTTTGCTCTGGAGCCCTCCGTCTTGAGCTGAGACAGAAAATGTGTGAGCCGGAGGCTAAAAAACTGTGAGCTAGCTCACACTAACTCAGCTCAGAGGGAACACTGGTGGGCGGAGCTAGGAAGTGTGTGCGTGTGGAGAGAGGGGAGGCAGGGTGGTCAGTTTTGAGTGTGAAGTCTGAAATGAGCAGTCAGGAGCTGTCAGTTGTGAACTTGTGGTCAATCTACAAAGTCAGAGAAACAGTCTTCCAAATAGAATCATACGAGAAGCGGTGACCTGCGATACTCGTGAGGCAGGGGGGAGCTCTACATGGACGAGGAGGAAGCAGCTGCAGGTAAGCCCTCTCCCACCCACCCCCGGCACCGGTGGCAAGGCCTGGGCCCACCGAGCCCTCTCCTGCCCCCCTCCCCACCATCGGTGGTGAGGCCTGAGCAGCTAAAGCTGCCTGCCAAGCCCCCCCCCACATACGCAATGGCGGCAAGGCAGTTCCCAGTGTGTTCTCTGCGCATGCGCAAGGAATGCTCTTTTACTTTTGGGGGGGGGTGGCTCAAGTGGTTAAGACGCTGAACTGCAGGCTATGGAAGGTCGGTAGTTCAGCAGTTCGAGACCCGAGTGTGCCACATGACGGAGTGAGCTTCCGTCTCTAGTGCCAGCTCCTGCCAACCTAGCAGTTCGAAAGCAAGAAATTGCAAGTAGATAAATAGGTACTGCTTCGGTGGGAAGGGAACAGCGTTCCGTGCGCCTCGGTGTTTAGTCATGCCGGCCACATGATCATGGAAACGTCTTCGGACAGCGCTGGCTCTTCGGCTTTGAAACGGAGATGAGCACCGCAACCCTAGAGTAGGATTCGACTGGCTTTCGAGCAAGGGAACCTTTACCTTTAAGTATCCCCCATATATATTTTTTTCAACTTTTCAGATTTTTCTGTACACCTGGGGATTGCACCAAGTGTGCAGGAAAATATCTTTGCCCCCCAAGTGCTCCCATTGTGCGGATTTAGATATCCGCACAGAGGCGGGTGTCTTGGCAATTAGTATATAGATAGAGGTGCTGTGCAAGGCATTAAGATTCTAAAAGAGGAAGAACGTGTACTTCGGGGGGCCTTTAGGCAAAATCTGATAATGTCTGAGTATTTTAAGAGTGTGAGGGAAAAGGCTGACAGAGACAGAAGAAAAAGGGGGAAAGATTTTACTAAGCAACTTAAGAAAACATCTTGTAACCAATACGCTTCCTTTACCGATAAAGTTTTATCTTGTTCGTTGTTAACCCAGAGTCTTACCCTCAGAACCGCATAGTCCAAGGAAGGAGCCTCAGAGCTCCGGCACAATACTCTGTGGAAGGGTTAATTTAAGACTGGGATTAAATTCCTGGTGGCAGCGATAGAAACTTTAAGGGAGAGAAAGAAACAACAAGAAATCTAAAACTCCTTCACACCTAAGCACACAAAATAAGAGAGAGGTATCACCACAGTAAGGATGAGGGAAAGAACGACATGGAGCCCTTGGAGGGCTCGGATTCCTGGCAGCAGGACATGGGGCTTCCCTGTCAAGGAGCTCCTCTCCACAAGGACAGAAGGGTCACTCACAGGCTGGAGAGACTTGTGGTAGGTGTGAGGAGAAGCACCCTAATTTCCCTCAAGGGTTAAAGCCTAGTCCGGTTTGCGAGTGTTCCTGCAGCTTCCATCCTCATCTCTGTCAAGGCCACACTCAAGAACGTGGTAGCTGGTTAATCATGAGAACCTGTGCTCAGTTGTAGCACTAGATGGGAGGGGGGAATTAAGACCGGATGCCAACAACCTCTGGGAAGTTCTACCGAGGAAGAATGGATCAGAGAGACCACCTGATGCCAGAGAGTAGAAAGCTATAATAAGATTATAGGCCAGTGGGAAGCCATGCTAACGTTACGCTCATGCCAAGCCACTATGCTTTGATATGTTATGCTTCATCATGATGGACAGCAACGTACAGAATGCTTTTATGCTAGCAGATGCCAACAACCTCTGGGAAATTCCACAAGGAAGAATGGATCAGAGAGACCACCTGATGCCAGAGAGTAGAAAGCTATAATAAGATTATAGGCCGGAGGGAAGCCATGCTAACGTTACGCTTATGCCAAGCCACTATGCTTCGATATGTAATGCTTCATCGTGATGGACAGCAACATATAGAACACTTTTATGCTACTTCTTGGATTTTATGCTGCAAGACGATTTGCCATCTAATGCAAAGTATTAGATAGGACAGTTCTTCTTTATTGTTGTTGGATTTTGTTGCTAAGCTATAAAGACTGCTCTGAATAGTGAATTTCTTTTAATGATCTAATAAACCTTTATGAGGGGGGATTATAAAGTCTTATAGAATCATAGAAAACGTTGGAAGGGACCTTGCAGGTCATCTAGTCCAACCCCCTGCACTCTGCAGGAGCGTAGCTGAAAGCTTGATTTAGGCTTGATATATTAGTGTGTATTCAGCCTCAAGGACTCAGAGATCTGGGATCTGGTTCAGGAGTTCCACGCAGAGGGCCAGGAGCAATAACCCAGTGGGACCCGGGCTCAGGTCGCTGACAGTGGGTTTCTGCAGAGGACGGCCACCCAAATCTGAAGCAGCCTGGATGTCAGGCAAACAAAAGCAGATAACAGAAGAGCATAAGAAGAGCCCAGCTAGTCTGGCACGATGTGGCTCAGCAACACCTGGTTTCCAGCAGTAGGCAGACAGATGCTTCTTGGATGACTCTTACGAAGACATGAAGGGAGAACCGTGACTTCTTGTTTAGCTCCAGCAGATGGTATCCTATATATATATTGAGAAAAAATAAATATAAGACAGTGTCTTATTTTCAGGGAAACA